GAAATGGGGATAGATGTGAGAGAGCTCAATTTCTCATCCTGTAAAAATAAGCCAATAACTAGCTTCAATAACATCCAGATTTTTTTAAAAAATCATTTAAACATTTTCTCAAAAATATAATGCTTTTAACAAAAGTTAGTGATTTAAAACACACATAATGTTATGACAAAGCTGAACAAAACATTTCAATTAAAAAGCAAATTTGAAAAAAAAATGATATTTTGATATAGAGCATGAAAGAGGGAAAGGAAAGTCTTGACAATTTCACCAAAAGGGGGCCCAATGAGTATATTTGGCCCACAGACTATCATAGGGATGACCCAGGGAGGGGAAGAGGAAGGTCACAGTTGTAAAACAGCTTGATGCATCATTAGGTCGAAAGCTGAGTTTCACCCACATTGCCATCAGTGTTGAGTATCAAACGGGGAGAGCTTGGCAGGGAGGGGAGGTAGTGCAGATCTCTAAGAAAAATCAGAAGAGAAGAGGAAAAGAAAATAGCATGAAGTTGAAAATCATGTTGAGAAACCTCCTTTTAAGTTCTTTGAGGAGGAGCAAAAGGAAGTTTAAACCAGAAATATACCCAAATGGGAATTTTCACAAGTGCCTAAGCATAACCCCATCCCCCAAAAAGAAATTGGAAGAAAAAGAGGAAATTAAAAAGACAAGGTTGAATGAAAAGAGATCATATTTACTTCTTGCTTAAAATAAAGAAACTTGTCCAAGTAAAGCAGATGGCGCAGGGTTTGGGATCACAGAATCCTAGCAGGGACCTAAGAGGCCATCTAGTTAAACCACCTTATTTTATTGAGAGGTAAACAGACAAAATGACTTGTCCACTGTAAGCATCAGAAGCAGGATTAGAACCCAGCTCCTTTGACTCCACAGTCTGCGTTCTTTCCAATAGAAATGAAAATCTTTATTTTAAATTCTAGCCTATATGCACATATACATTATACATATATATATACATAGACCTATAGTATCATCTCTTATGTGTCTTCTAAGACTCATTGAAATGAAATGACAACTCAAATTTCGAAACTTGAATTTACTGATTTTAAGAGAATAATCTAGCTCTCTTACGTGTTTCTAAGGGTCATCAGTTACTTTTCATAAAAATCAATAGTTTTCCCACCAAAGAACTTTGATCTAGTTGGGGTAATCAGACAAAGTAGCATAAAAGCATCCATTCTGTCTTATTCATCGAATTTTTAAAAAGCAATTCATTCAGTATTTTTAAATTCAGCTTTGAATTAATTTCCTATGGCTTTATATCTATTTGACTCCTAAGCAACAGATCGATTCAATCAATTTACTGCTTGTCAACTCCATGTTTAATTATTAATCGACAGTTTCTACTTGAGAGTAACCTTATCCTATCATAATAAATCTAAATCTACAAAGGAGAGTATGGAGATCTTTGAAGGAAGATGAAAGGAAATTCATAGACAAAAAGAGAATGCCATATTTTTAAGTGATCTTCAGGGCAGGCTAGCCTGTGTGCCAGAAAGTGTTTGTGGAATATTCTGTCTCATGTACAACCCTCCTCAACAGCTCTTTCTGTTGGTGGTTAATAAGTCACAGTTATCTAATTATGGATTTGCTTTGACACTTTGCTTTTAGTACTCAAAGTTCATCTTCAGTTCAAAAGACTGTCCTTTTCACACTACAATAAATACAATTCTGCCTAGTTTCATCATGTGTACTGTCAGACATTTTGCAACAGAGTTTTGAAATCATATTTTATGGCACTGGAACTGCTTCTTCATAGTTCTATCCCTACTGTCTCCTGTCAAGTGGAACTGGCCCTGGTAACAAGAAGATTAGTAAATATGAGCTACCTCAATTTGGCCTAACAGTCTTGCTGACGATTTTTCCATTACATGGTTGGATGAGATCAACTGAGTCTGGAACTATTCAATTTATTCTCTAGCAACAGTTTGGGGAACACAATAGTCACTTGGATGAAATACGAGGTCTTGTAATAATAAATCTTGGGATCAAGTACTAATTTTTAGTACAAGTATTTCCCCTCTTCAATACCTCCCCCTAAAAAAAACCTTAAGTGTTTACATTTGCAAGTCTATACTCATGAGCAGTCTTTGATGCCATTTGAAAAATTCCACTATTTCAATTGCGGATTCCAGAAATAAAAGAATTACCATTCAAGTATAAAGAAGAATATTATTTCTAAATTAATTGAGGAGATAATTATTAATCTTTGTCACTTTTATGTGTAATGCCCCCAGTTTCATTATTTCTACATGTGCTTAAACAACAGAGCAAGACAAGATATTATCTATGTACATTCTCATAACAAATGGTAATGACATTGTTTAATCTTGACACAGTCAGTATACCATTCTTTCTTTGATTCCAAGTTAAAACTAGAGGAACATATAAGAGTAAGGTGACTAAATCCAAACATGAAGTAACCTAGGTTAAGGTGTTGTGTACATGACACCAAAATATCTGGTTAGAAAGCCAAAACCTTCATGATTTTCTAAGTATTTGGTCTACGCATTGTCAAACCCTCAACTCTTTGGCAATGTGCAAATAAAAGGTAGTGTGTTATAGTGGATAGAGCACTAGTCTTGGAGTCAGGAAGACCTAAGTTTGAATCTTGTCTCAGATGCTTACAAGCTACGTGACCCCAGATAAGTTACTTAAAATTTAAGTTTCTTCAACTGTAAAATGAGGAGAGTAAAACTAGATGATCTCTAAAGTCCTTTTCAGCTTTAAATCAATGACCTGTCTAGTATCTGGTTGAGAGTTCCTAACAACCATTCTATGGAAAAGAGAAGCAAGAAGACTTGGTAACAATGAGGCTGTTTCCTTTTAATGACGAGAAGTATTTATGCTTGGTAATGGAAGTCTTCATTTGGAACTGATTTAAATCATGATAAATTATGTAGAGATTAATTTGACATTCTGCAAGGTATCTTATTTTAGAAAAATTACTAAATCTGAACACATGCATTGCTACAAGAGAACTAAATCATCATGAGTTGTTATCTTTATAGTATTAGGCACTTCACAAAAAATTTATTCTCAGGTGATTTTTGGTAACGGGTAGGTTTTAGTTTAAATTTTAGCATTTTATTTTTCTATACTATGGCTTTCTAAATTGGTTTTATTCATTTTGCAAAAACATTATAATGTCTAAAACTTCAGATTAATCTTAGAATATTATGGTGCCATGTACATAGTAAAAAACAAGTGGTTTTGATGATGATGAAAATATGCTCACTGACTTGAATTACAATTCCTACAGTATATGGAATTAAATGTGGCAAGGTAACATATCAATACATTTTCTCTATTTTATTTCAATTGAGGAAAATATTTTGCTATAAACAATGGAAGAAATCACCTCTAATCACAGTTCTCAATGACTTGCATCACTAGCATTTAAGTGACCCAAACACTTAGTAAACTCCCACACTAGTCTTCATAAGATATACAGACAAATGTCAAATATTTTAATTTCAATTTTACAAAATATGCAAATGAAGACTGATGTTGGAGAAAGTTATTAAAATTGACTTCCTCAAGACCACATTGAGATTTAGGACCAATGTTGGCAATCTCCTATCTCACTTTGGTTTAGCATCTTAGCATCTCTCATCCTATGCAAATAATGACATGAATTATCACTAAGATTCTCACCCAAACCACATCTAAACGTAAAAAGGCTATGATCACACTCTAAAGTACCAAGATTTAATGTTCACTTCAATCTTTACTGTATCAATTCTTGGCTTTCTAAGACTTCTTGTATTTCTTTTTCCTCCAAGTAACCAATTTAAAATTCAAATAGGGAGGGACTTTCCATATTTAGTATATTCTCATCAATAAGAGGAAATCATGTCAAATTTGACAATTTTTTGAAATCGTGTCATCTTAGAGACAACATGAAATAGTAGTTAGAGCACGGGGCTTACAGACAAGAAGGCTTGGGTTCAAAACCTGCCTACGACATTTACTCCATTCGTGACCTGGGGCTACTCATACGGATTCTTTATGTCTCAAGAGATTCTCTATGAATGATTTTCTAAATCATAGACAGACTAATTGATGAAAACAGTTCCCATGCTTGGAGTTCCCTATGATAAGGAAGTCATATATCCTAAATATATTGATATATACATACATGCAGACATACATACATATAGAGAGAATGAGAGAGTATTGATTCAGAATTGGAAATTTTTCTAAGTAGCTAATAGACCATCTATTAATCCTCTAATATGTATGATTGGTATAAGGGAAATATAACTCAATTTTTATGCAAATGAATTAAATCCTAAAACACTAAGGTAACTTGAACTCAAGTCACCAACTCAAAGTGCTCATCAAAAAGTTCTCATCAAAAGCTACATGGCTTTGTTTTTATAAGAAGAGAATTGTTTTCATCTATGCCAATCTTCATCTTATTTTATAAGTAATGAAGAAAAATATGGCTAGGGAACTCACCAAGGTGAATTCATTGGTATCAGGAACTCATCAATGAGCAAACTCCCTCTATCAAAGTAGGTAAGCACCTTCTTTCCTAAGTATAATCTTAGGGATTTGCTAGAGAACTGAAAGGCCAAGAGACTTGCCTGGTCTACACAGCCAGTAGATGTCAGAAGCAAGACTTGAACCCAGGTCTTCCTGACTTCAGGACTAGCTCTATCCATTATGCTATCCTGCATCTCAGTGAGGTATAATGATAATCTGAGAGAGAAAATACTATATTATATAAGCCATAACTATCCTTACTCTTCTACCATAATCCCTTGGCCTCCAATGCAATCAACTAATAGTGGGTTAAAGTTCTTAGAAAAAATATCTCTGAACCTCCCTCAAAAATTATGCTAATGAGTAAACACATTCTATGCTTGTTTACTAATAAAGACAACTTTTTTTTCCAATGTTGCCCTTCCAGTGGATACAACTGAGACTGAAACAGATTATGAAATTAGCCATCATAAATATATTCAATCAGGTATACTCACCTGCCCAGCAAAGAGGCCACTGTTTTCTTCCAAGTATTTACTGAAAGGGTTTGGCTCATATGTCTCCTCCTCTTCTTTCCTCAATACTATTTTGGATTTTACTGAAACTGGCCGAATTACTCCAGGTTTTGTCTTCATGCATAAACAAAAACATAAAAATAAAATTATCAAAAGTGAATTAATATGCTTTATAGTTGAAGTATTCAAATATTTATCTCAGGTCAATTGTATTCAACTTTTCTTTCTGAAATAATCTCACCAAGGTAAACTGGGGGGAGGAAAAAATGAAATTAAGTTACAGTAAAAGTTCAGGGCTTTTTAAAATGTTATTTATTTTATTTTTAATTTACAGGAAAAAATGATAACTTTATTATAGATATAAAAGGAATAGCGAGTTGTACATAACAGATTTGCAGTTTCAAGTTCAGGAGTTTTTAAATTCATTCACTGAATTCTAGTATCATAGCATTAAAATGCGAACAGTTTTCTTTACCCAGACAAATAGTATCCATTATCTATGCCAGTCACTATTGTCATCATGCCCAAGAGAATTCTTATCACGAAAACATCAGGAAATGGTATTTCATACACACAGAAACCCAGATGAGATTTTTAAAAAAATCAAAGAAATAATAAACAAACTTATAAAACTATTCCAAATAGATACAAGTTGAATAAAAGTTGGGTGCATTCTTGCTGCTTAAAACTACAGTTCTTTTGGGAATATAAAAAATAAGCCCTATTCTGGAAATGCTGTTTTCACATAAATCAAACCCTCAGGGACTACATCTGTCTCTCAGGTCTGCAAAGGACCTGGTAAATATTGAGTCTTGAATAACAACAGCTTCATAATATTTCCTTGCCTTAGTCATAGACTGGAAAGGGGGGGTGTAAAAATCCTTCACATATATGCCAACTGTAGAAACCCTGAGCAACTCTGCAGACAGTGAACTTCAGGTGATATAGTAGATAATGTATTGGAATTAAAGTCAGGAAGACTAGAGTTCATATCCTACCTCATACACTTAAGTTGTATGATACTGGATAAGTCACTTAGACTGTCTGCTTCACTTTGCTGATCTGTAAAATAGGGATAATGATAGCATCTACCTCACAGGATCGTTGTGAGGATCAAATAGATAACATGAATAGGCACTTTGCAAACTTATTGAAATGCTATATAAATCTACTTAGTTGTTGTTGTCATGTTGTGGTTATTTTTATTCCTAGATTGAAGAGGATCTTAAGAATAGCAATTAATTTTTAAAAGGAAAAGAAATAGGAATATGCTATCTAGCCCCCTTCAACCCTCTCTGAAGATTACAATGAAGCAAAACCATTGAAGAACTCTAAACAAGATAGTGAATAGAAGACCACCTGAATTTCCTGATACATCTCTGGGGATTCTATCTACCAGGAGAGATTGCAAATTGTTTCTGACTTGAAGTCTTAGAAATTTGTACTGCTAGGACCTCTAGCTAGTAAGTACCAAAGACGGAGTGAGTATTTGTACCCCAATCTTCCCGACTCCAAGTACCACACTGTATCTACTCTGCCATGCTGCCTATAAATCGGTAATAAATTATAAACATTACAACCGGGCAAGGATCTTCAATGAGTCATAGTAGCCAGTCTTACTTTTCTTATATCCTTCCTTATGCCCTCCCGTAAACATAAAATTTCAGGTACCAGTTAGTAAATGGAGGGAGAGTGGAGGATTAAGGTTCGTTTTAGAGGTCCATTAAATGTCCTTGAAATGAATAGATGAAGGAAAGAAAGAAAGAAAGAAAGAAAGAAAGAAAGAAAGAAAGAAAGAA